AAAGAGAAATTATTTTTCCTTTATTTAGCAGGTGACTTTTTATCTCACTATATTTTTTGTCTTTTGGTTTGTAAGTGAGTTATTTGAGAAGACGCATCAAAGGTAGCCTATAGGTCTCAACATCAAACCTTAAAAGGTTGGTTGTTTTTGGCCCGAAATGGTTCAAGTGAGAAAAAGAGTGATATCCAGCCCATGATGCAACTAAACCAGAGAAAATGTACCATAGTGTATTCGTCTCTGTAAACTAAGGAGTTCTAAACATGTACATCTTAGGAACAAAACCTTAGAGAGTGTAGATCATATATGTATCCTCTTTGTGAAAGTAACCCAAACACTCAAACCTGATTATACATTTATCATCTGTAAAGCCTGAAGAGGCTATGGAAAGAATACTTGTAAAGCCTAGAAAGGCTAGTCAAAGAATACTCACTGCTAGCTAGAAGTGGCTGATAAGAATATACTAGTGTCGATAAGTGAAGCCGACGGACCAGGAGGTGGTCAAGAATACTCACTACTAACTAGAAGTGGCTGATAAGAAAATACTAGCGCTGGTGAGTGAAGCTGGCGGGCTAGGAGTGGTCGAGAATACTTGAGGAACCAGAAGTGGTTTAAGAATACTAGAGCTGGTGAGTGAAGCTAGCCAACCAGGAGTGGATGAGAATATTCGTGACCAGGAGTGGTCATGACTTGGGTGGTCTAGAATATTCATGACCAGGAGTGGTCGTGACCTGGGTAGTCTATAATACTCATTACTAGCCTGAAGAGGCTGATAAGAAAATAGTAGCGTTGATGAGTGAAGTCAATGGGCCAGAAGTGGTTGATAATACTTATGTACTTAATTGCATATTTCGTGGAACCCTTCATTTGAAGGAGACTGGACGTAGCTTAGTTTGAGCGAACCAGTATAAAAATACTTGCACTATTTTATTAAGCTTTAGACGCACTTTCACATAGTTGATTTAACCTACTGAAAACTTCGTCCATCGTTTATCATTTGTTACAACTATCTTCAGACGAAAACCACTCATGTTTAATTTATTATCATAAAGGACGACTTGTGGTTAAAAAGCATTTTCTCTAAGTAGACGATGAAATTCCCAGACGAAGAATCATTTTGTTAAACCAAACCTGGGTAGTTTCTTTTTATTTAACATTTACTAACATCATTTTACAGGACGAAAAAAAGTCTTCTTGAGAAAAAGTTTTTAAAATACCTTTGTTCACTCACACACATATTCAACCCGCTAACTTCAGTATTTGTTATGATTGTGTGTCTGTTGCCTAACATGTATTTCTACATCTGAACCTAAGTGAGATGTTTCTCGCTCCCTTGTTTCTCTATGTGTATTTTTATTGTGTTGCAGGTGATCATCAACATAAGGATGTTGATGATAAGGTTTAAGTCTCATTATGGGGTGTGCTCTGATAGGACATGTGACATTGGGGCTTAGTTAGGATTAATTTAGAATGTTACTCTTGTTAAATTGCTTAGAAGATATTGATTTTATTCTTTTGTAATTTCCGCATTAAACTATGATTTATGATTTATGAATGTGATCTCTTTACCCTTATGTGGCTAGAGACTTGGATTTTATTTATGAAGGATTTTATTTATCTCTATTCATTGTATAATTGTGTATGTGCGGTAGAGGGTGTCACAGTTTTGATATAAATTAGAGTGCTCTGTGGGTTGTTATGGGAAACCTTATGAAGTGAAATCATATATGATCTTTGGATGAATTTTGAGGCATTATATGTAAAATTAATGATGGGTTCGTGTTTTGGGTAATATTTGAAGTGTTTTGACCAATTGAAATATTGTATAACTGGCTGGTTGTAAATAAATGTGTGAAATCATAAAGTTGGGTCTATGACCTTCTTGCTTCGTATGATATGAATTGTGAATTGAATGTGTATGATGTTGGATAATTTCTTGGTATGGTTTATGTGCTATTCTGATGTATATGAGTATGAGAAGTTCCTTGTATGAAACTATGTAAATATGATATGAAATTGTGAAAAGTGAACGTGTGACCTGTGACATGATAGTATGAGATAACATGATATGAGATATAAGAATCGGTGATATGAGATTTTGGTTTTATTTATGAAAGATTTTAATTTCTATTTATTGTGTAATTATGTATGCGGGGTATAGGGTGTCACAGGTTGATCTGGTATAAAAAACAACTTTAAAATAGGAGAATAACAAACAAATTTATATATAAAAGATTATTGAGTTGTGAAAGGCTATAAATACACATCTTAGTTTGATTTTGGTGTATGATGAGATAAAACATTGACATTGGTTGACCATTTGATACCTTCAATGATTTGAAAGATTTCCTTAAATTTACATTTGAAACTTGATTATGAATTATTAGGGAAAAAACATTCAAGTTGTAACAAGCATAAACTCCATGACTATCTTGACCAAAAATTCAAGAAAACACCATAATAATTCTTCATTTGCAAGCATAATAAACACAAAAAATTATAATGACAATTTTCAATCAAATAAATAGAAAAACATTTATAAAGAATGACAATAACATGCAAAATTAAAGAAAAAAAATACATTGAATGTGAGTTTTTTTTTTGTTAGTAATCTATTCACAATATTGTTTCTCAAGCACATGAAATCATAGTATGATTTTAAGCCAAGTGTTGGTACAATGCTTTCTAATTCTTATTATCTCAAAAGGGATAAGGATGCTTCGAAAGGTTATTTGATACAAGATAGGACTACCACCTTTGTGTGAAGGTCATTTTGTTAAAATATGAAAGATGAAACATAACATTAAATACAAAAGTCAAGTGAGTAAATAAACAAATAAGGAAATGGATAATAACAAATTTTGGTTAAGATTATCTAATTTCAATAATTTTTATATGATGGAAGAGCATGGACCAAAGGTCCAACCACTAGAGTATGACTAGAAGATTACTTGAAGATTTGACTACTTTAGAGCTTAGTGGGCCTAATGGGCTTGGTGGGCCTAGGGTTCTCTTCACTTGGACTTTACATGCATGACCACCTCTTTATTTCGGAACGGGCCGTTCCGCTTCCAACGTCAGCCCACATCTACCCTGCAAACACGGAAAAAAAAAAATATAAAAGCAACTCAGAATTCGGTTCCCCGGGAACCGAATTCTGAGTTGAAAAAACAAAAAAAAATAGATTTTGGTGCTCAGAATTCGGTTTCCCGGGGAACGAATTCTGAGCTTGAACAGTGAATAGTTCTATCTGTGTAAATAAACCTGCACAGTGGTTATTTGGGTATTTAAAAAAAAAAAATAATATTTACGTAAAAAATTCTGGAGGTTGAGGTATTTGTCAGAATTTTTATATTTTCTAAAGGTTTATTAAGACCGCAGAATAGCAATAATTTTTCTATTAGAAATGCTAATTTGTATGAAAAAGGAATTTGTGCAAATTTGGACGAATGTATATTTCACTAAAAGGAAATATTTTAATATTTTAAAATTTAATTAAAATATATAATTACAAAAATTTAGACATCCAGATAAGAGTTAGTATGTTTTTTTTTTTTTAACATTTTTTCTTTCGTGCTGAATAGTCCTTGCTTTATTAAATTCATTAAAGTAAAACTAACAATAGATGAATTAGACTACGAATGACATTATTTTCTAGTGTAACAGAAAAAAGACTACGGATGACATTTTAGACCCATTTATAATGGGTATATATATATATATATATATATATATCCGTCTCGTACTTGTACCCGTATCCACTTAAAAATTATAGAAACTTAACTTATTTGTTTTAAAATTTACTTGAAATTTACAAATATATATATATATATATATAATACTTACAATTAGCAGAATTTTTAATTATTATATATTTTGAGTCTAAATCTAAAGAATTATCGATAAAAAAAAATTTGTATGAGTGAGGGATATGAATATTATGATTCTCAACTTCTACACGTACTTAATTCATACATCTATATTATATATTTTCTGCATTTAAATTTTAATTTTGGATATTATTTTTCAGGGTGTAGTATAATTTTAATTTATTTTATATTTAATTTTTGTTTTAAATAATAATGTTTGATATATACTTAATATTAGATAGTATCATTGATGTCATATATATTAAAATAAATAGGTATTTATTCAAACCATTTACTTAAACACATTTGTAATATAGGCAGCTCCTACTTATTATTTTACTATTTCATTTAATAAAATACATATAGAGACATAGCTTTTAATTTTATAATATAAAAATTAAATTATTGATATTTTTTTTTATATTTTTTACTTCACTTAAACGTTTATACTTTATTCGTATAAAATCAAAAAATTAAAAATTTAAATTTAAATAACTACATCTTTGTCATTATTTTCCTTTCTTATCATAATTGGTCATTTAGAATATATTAAATGAGATATAGAAAAGATTTAGAAAAATATTTTTTATAAGATTATTTTTTTATATTATAGCTTGTATATTAATATATGTTAATGTACATAAGTATATATAAGTTATGCCTTAGTTAGTTTTTTATTCTTTTTTATTTATTTTAAACTCTTAATTTTAGTATAATAGAGTAAATTATATTTTTTATCATGTAAATTAAAAAAAGATTTATACATGTATCTAAAAATACAATTTTTGATTAATTTAAAATAAAATTTATTAACCTATTTAACATTATTAATATAAAATAAACTTTTAGATATATAAATAAATAAAACAAATTTTAAAAAGGACATAGGAGACATATAAAAATAATTATAATAAATAATAAGTTAATTTTAAATTTTAATTTTATAAAGAAGGTAGAACCCATGACGTAACCCATAAATGAAGCTTTCAAATTTTTGGAAGTATCGAAATTAGTGACTGAACAAGCTCTAACCCTATATATAAATGATGGTTCTAACAAGTGTTTTGAATTCAATAATACTACACTTCATTGTTGCCCTATTTGGCTGCAAGATACTCTAGAGTTTCTGAAGCCATGACGTCTCCCTCGTCGCAACCACAAACTTTGTCCTTTAGTGCCAAATTTGACCCCTCAAATCCTCTAGAATTTCTCAGCAAAGCATTCAAATTGGTGGCGCAAAGAAGTAACTTTCTTGAAAAGAACACTGCGGAGAAGGAGATTGTCTTGGCGGCACGCACAGCCAAAGAGACCGTCTTGAACGAAAAGAAAGACAGACAAGTCAAAACCACGGAAGAGAAAAAGAAGGTTGCACTTGCAGTGGTAGAGAAGAAAGACAAGGAAGTGGAAACCAACGAAGACAAAAAGAAGCCACGTGAATAATCAATCAATGTTCTCTTCTTTCATTCTTCATTAACTCTTAATGTCAACATTCTTATTTGTTTTTTTTCTTTTTCTTCAGAGCAAAACGATGGCAATGGCATGGATTTAGAAAATTACTCGTGGCAACAGACCACTACGGAGATCATTATTATTCCTCCTGTGCCTGCTGGAATGAAATCTGAAAATATTGATTTAACGATAAAGGAGAACCTTCTGAAAATTAAATTCAGAGGCCATTCACCTATTATCAATGTAAGTTTATATAATTTATTGCTTTCATATTATATATCTTAGTTTGTTTTCTTGATTCTCAATTTAAAATATTTTCAAGATAATCGATCTTAAAAGTCCAACTTTTAAGATCGATTGACGACCGATCTTAAAAGATTACTTTTAAGATCATATCTTTTAAGATTGGTCAAAAAATCGATCTTAAAACTAAAAAATAACCAATTTTAAAAGTATTTTTTTACTAGTATTTATATAATTTATTGCTTATTCTTCCATATTATATATCTTAGTTTGTTTTCTTGATTCCCAATTTAAAACATTTTCAGGGTGAGCCATATGCACCCCTCAAGTCAGAAGATTGTTTTGGTTGCGGTAAAGGATCACTTAATTATATATCTACCAAAAATATTTTTAATAATTCATTAGCATCTTGATGGGTCTAAGTTTGTGTAGAGAGATATTGTAGTATGTGCATGAGCTAATATTAAGAGTTCTATATGTAGTTGTGTTTGTTCTAGGATTAATTGGAGGGTGTTAATTATTCTGTTTATTTGGAGTAAGAGCTAATGATCTTTTAACAGTGTCACTGATTGTTTACAAATATATTTTGCCCACAATCCAGAAGATGATCACGGTACAACTTATATTATTTTGACCAAACAACAAAAGGGGTGGTGGAAAAGTTTGATGAAGGGTGATCCCGAAATCGTTATCTCAAAACTTGAACATGATTACCCCGTACCTGATCCGGAAACTCGAGGGGAAATGACAAGAATTATGGTAATTGATTGATTATTATTACTTGTCAATATTTTAACTTGCAGTTGTAAATTTTGATTTTGATATGTTATTGTATTCATGTTTTAGTACTTTTCATGGGAAGTGAATTTCATCTTCATTGTCGTAATATCCGTAGAAGACAACTTGGCTTGTTTAATTTGTTTAGTGTTGTTCTTGTATCACATTGAGATGTGCGTAAACATATATTGAAATGACATTGTTTTGGATTCTAGAATATCTTTTGGTTATTGGCAAGTATTTCGAATTTTTACAGTTTCAGCCTATGCTAAAGTATATGGGCGTCACTAGAATCAAATCTTTGAATGAGCAGCAAAAGCAGGAATTGTCGAAGGCAATAGAATCCGTTAATATCACGATGAAGAAACATGATAGACTGTTGAGAAAATTATGGTAATTGTTTGACCATTGTTACTTGTTAATATAAACTTGCAGTTCTCTTAGATCTGTTATTGAATTCATATTTTGGAAGTGAGTTCCATCTATTTAATGTGATTAACATTATAAAGGTATTTAATTAAAGTTAATTGTCATACTATCAATCAAATGAAGCTAACTTAGCTTGTTTAATTTGTTTAGTATTCTTGTATCTCATTGAATTTTGTCTATAATATCTCTCAATAGATGGCTTGGTGTTACGTGAAAAGTATGTCCAAAAGCAAAAGTATATGGCCCTCCCTAAACATAGACTAATGATTTTACCTTATTTTTGCAGAATCCAGAGATATGGACTTCAAATGGTGTTGAGATCTTGTTGTGTGTGTCTGTGTTTTTTTTTTCTTTAGGTCTGATATTTGATACATATGGTGGTTATACCATTCTTATAATGTTGGTACCGATGTTGCTGTTTCATGTGGTTGTGAGTGAACATCATGAACTTTGTTCATAATAATTGATAGTTGATTTTAGGTGCATGAAATATAAACAAATATAGGATGACATGTTGTTCTCTTATTTCGCCTTTTCGAATAATGTTCTCTGAGCTCATATTCTCGTAATTATTATTCTCTATTCATTTTAGATTCAACTGCTTAACGAACAAAAGTATTATTAGGAGTTTCTCGATGTTTGGCATTTCATAAACAAAAGCAATGTACTTCACTACATAGAATATTCGGAAAACACAATAGAATCATAGTTCTATTAGCTGTTAGGGATATATTTTTGTTGAGAAGAGGATTATGTCTTATCTATAACAATAGATAAAAGAATAATTGGTTTTGGTCTTCACAAATTTTAAGACCATTCTACCCTTTATTGTATGTATATTTCCCTCTTAAACTAATAACAATTTTGTTTTGTTTGATGTCCTTTATAAATTTTTTACCGTTATGATTGGTCACTTGATCACCTCTCATTTCCTTCCTGTGCACTCTTACTATCAAACATGTTATTGTCACACCTAGCTAAAAAAAAAATAAAAATGCAACCGCACTTCTTTCCAATTTTCATTCAACCTCTCTCTACCTCCTTTATTTCTTCAAGATTAGATACCTATAAAGCTCTCTCTATCTTCACATTAGACCAATTTCTTCACTGTACCTAAGTTCCCACTTTTCTTCTTTCTTCTTAATATTATTGCTTCTACTGTTCGATTTGCACTTCAATTTCTTCACCTATTTTTCTATCCAAATCGTCTTGCATGATTGTCTCTAATAATAGTATATTTATTTTTGGATTCATAGATTGACAAAATAATTGAATCAAGTTGCTTGATTAATTTTGATTTTGAAAATTTATATATTGTGATAGATTATTGTTGTTTTCTCTATTGACTTCCTCAAACATTGATGAACTCCTCCTCCCCATTCTTTTTATGCATGTATTCTTTAAAGTTAATAAATGGAAGTAATGGTGAATGATATAATACTTGTTATAGGTTGTGAGGAACAGAGACCGCAATGGCACACCAACATGCAAAAGGCCGTGTGGATGCCATGTGAATTATGGCTTTTGGTTTGGTAACAGTATAAACATTTGGTTTCTTTATGCATGCTTCTTTAAATACATTACACCATCATTCAATCACTAAACAATTCAATGTATATTTATCCATTTCTTAATAATTCATTTGACTTTGCTCTCATCTTATTTTGTACTTTATGTTTTTTTATTTGTATATATTAATTTTTTTCCTTTATGTTTGAAGCAAGGATGTTTAATACTTCTCCATACCATATTTTTTTTGCTACTTGATTACTATTATGGTACCAAGGAGAGCATGAACAAATGAACGTGAGAATAGTTTCAACTACATGTGTTTTACTCGTTCGAAAGGTATATATATACTCTTCAACACAAGCCCCCTTTTCTCCTTCATTTTCTCTTTTCTTTTTATTAATTCATTTTTCTTTGATTTCTTTGATGGTTGGCATATAATAGGTAACATGAATGAAAGCAAGAAGCACTTAATTAGATACAAATTTAATTAATTGGAAAAGAGAAATTATTTTTCCTTTATTTAGCAGGTGACTTTTTATCTCACTATATTTTTTGTCTTTTGGTTTGTAAGTGAGTTATTTGAGAAGACGCATCAAAGGTAGCCTATAGGTCTCAACATCAAACCTTAAAAGGTTGGTTGTTTTTGGCCCGAAATGGTTCAAGTGAGAAAAAGAGTGATATCCAGCCCATGATGCAACTAAACCAGAGAAAATGTACCATAGTGTATTCGTCTCTGTAAACTAAGGAGTTCTAAACATGTACATCTTAGGAACAAAACCTTAGAGAGTGTAGATCATATATGTATCCTCTTTGTGAAAGTAACCCAAACACTCAAACCTGATTATACATTTATCATCTGTAAAGCCTGAAGAGGCTATGGAAAGAATACTTGTAAAGCCTAGAAAGGCTAGTCAAAGAATACTCACTGCTAGCTAGAAGTGGCTGATAAGAATATACTAGTGTCGATAAGTGAAGCCGACGGACCAGGAGGTGGTCAAGAATACTCACTACTAACTAGAAGTGGCTGATAAGAAAATACTAGCGCTGGTGAGTGAAGCTGGCGGGCTAGGAGTGGTCGAGAATACTTGAGGAACCAGAAGTGGTTTAAGAATACTAGAGCTGGTGAGTGAAGCTAGCCAACCAGGAGTGGATGAGAATATTCGTGACCAGGAGTGGTCATGACTTGGGTGGTCTAGAATATTCATGACCAGGAGTGGTCGTGACCTGGGTAGTCTATAATACTCATTACTAGCCTGAAGAGGCTGATAAGAAAATAGTAGCGTTGATGAGTGAAGTCAATGGGCCAGAAGTGGTTGATAATACTTATGTACTTAATTGCATATTTCGTGGAACCCTTCATTTGAAGGAGACTGGACGTAGCTTAGTTTGAGCGAACCAGTATAAAAATACTTGCACTATTTTATTAAGCTTTAGACGCACTTTCACATAGTTGATTTAACCTACTGAAAACTTCGTCCATCGTTTATCATTTGTTACAACTATCTTCAGACGAAAACCACTCATGTTTAATTTATTATCATAAAGGACGACTTGTGGTTAAAAAGCATTTTCTCTAAGTAGACGATGAAATTCCCAGACGAAGAATCATTTTGTTAAACCAAACCTGGGTAGTTTCTTTTTATTTAACATTTACTAACATCATTTTACAGGACGAAAAAAAGTCTTCTTGAGAAAAAGTTTTTAAAATACCTTTGTTCACTCACACACATATTCAACCCGCTAACTTCAGTATTTGTTATGATTGTGTGTCTGTTGCCTAACATGTATTTCTACATCTGAACCTAAGTGAGATGTTTCTCGCTCCCTTGTTTCTCTATGTGTATTTTTATTGTGTTGCAGGTGATCATCAACATAAGGATGTTGATGATAAGGTTTAAGTCTCATTATGGGGTGTGCTCTGATAGGACATGTGACATTGGGGCTTAGTTAGGATTAATTTAGAATGTTACTCTTGTTAAATTGCTTAGAAGATATTGATTTTATTCTTTTGTAATTTCCGCATTAAACTATGATTTATGATTTATGAATGTGATCTCTTTACCCTTATGTGGCTAGAGACTTGGATTTTATTTATGAAGGATTTTATTTATCTCTATTCATTGTATAATTGTGTATGTGCGGTAGAGGGTGTCACAGTTTTGATATAAATTAGAGTGCTCTGTGGGTTGTTATGGGAAACCTTATGAAGTGAAATCATATATGATCTTTGGATGAATTTTGAGGCATTATATGTAAAATTAATGATGGGTTCGTGTTTTGGGTAATATTTGAAGTGTTTTGACCAATTGAAATATTGTATAACTGGCTGGTTGTAAATAAATGTGTGAAATCATAAAGTTGGGTCTATGACCTTCTTGCTTCGTATGATATGAATTGTGAATTGAATGTGTATGATGTTGGATAATTTCTTGGTATGGTTTATGTGCTATTCTGATGTATATGAGTATGAGAAGTTCCTTGTATGAAACTATGTAAATATGATATGAAATTGTGAAAAGTGAACGTGTGACCTGTGACATGATAGTATGAGATAACATGATATGAGATATAAGAATCGGTGATATGAGATTTTGGTTTTATTTATGAAAGATTTTAATTTCTATTTATTGTGTAATTATGTATGCGGGGTATAGGGTGTCACAGGTTGATCTGGTATAAAAAACAACTTTAAAATAGGAGAATAACAAACAAATTTATATATAAAAGATTATTGAGTTGTGAAAGGCTATAAATACACATCTTAGTTTGATTTTGGTGTATGATG